AATCCGAACATATTAGCAAACTTCGGATGCGCGAATCAATTTTCCCCGAGATAATAGATTTTCATCTCTTCTACAGCCGGCAAAAAGTGTCCCTGCAGAGAGCTCCGCTATTTCTGACAGTTCTCTGACAGTTCCTTCACATTTACAGCAGTTGAAACATTGTATCTATTTTTTCCATTTAGGATACAGATGTTTTTATTCGGAAACAAATAGATACAATGTTTCAAACCGCTGTAAATGTGAAGGAACTGTCAGAGAACTGTCAGAAATAGCGGAGCTCTCTGCAGATACACTTTTTGCTGCACTGGAATTCTTCTTCATCCTCATCCTACTTCTTCTTCTTCTTCATCCTCATCCTACTTCTTCTTCTTCTTCTTCATCCTCATCCTCATCCTCATCCTACTTCTTCTTCTTCTTCATCCTCATCCTACTTCTTCTTCTTCATCCTCATCCTACTTCTTCTTCTTCTTCTTCTTCATCCTCATCCTATCTTCTTCCTTCTTCTTCTTCATCCTCATCCTACTTCTTCTTCTTCTTCTTCATCCTCATCCTACTTCTTCTTCTTCTTCTTCTTCATCCTCATCCTCATCCTACTTCTTCTTCTTCTTCATCCTCATCCTAACTTCTTCTTTTTTCTTCATCCTCATCCTACTTTCTTCTTCTTCTTCTTCATCCTCATCCTACTTCTTCTTCTTCTTCATCCTCATCCTACTTCTTCTTCTTTCATCCTCATCCTACTTCTTCTTCATACTTCTTCATCTTCTTCTTCTTCTTCTCTTCTTCATCCTCATCCTACTTCTTCTTTCTTCTTCTCATACTCTTCTTCTTCATCCTCATCCTACTTCTTCTTCTTCTTCTTCATCCTCATCCTACTTCTTCTTCTTCTTCTTCTTCATCCTCATCCTACTTCTTCTTTCATCTTCTTCATCCTCATCCTACTTCTTCTTCTTCTTCTTCTTCTTCTTCTCATCCTCATCCTCATCTTCTTCTTCTTCTTCTTCATCCTCATCCTACTTCTTCTTCTTCTCTTCATCCTCATCCTACTTCTTCTTCTTCTTCTTCATCCTCATCCTACTTCTTCTTCTTCTTCTTCTTCATCCTCATCCTACTTCTTCTTCTTCTTCTTCTTCTTCATCCTCATCCTACTTCTTCTTCTTCTTCTTCATCCTCATCCTACTTCTTCATCCTCATCCTACTTCTTCTTCTTCTTCATCCTCATCCTACTTCTTCTTCTTCTTCATCCTCATCCTACTTCTTCTTCTTCTTCTTCTTTCTTCATCCTCATCCTACTTCTTCTTCTTCTTCTTCTTCTTCATCCTCATCCTACTTCTTCTTCTTCTTCTTCTTCTTCTTCTTCTTCATCCTCATCCTACTTCTTCTTCTTCTTCTTCTTCATCCTCATCCTACTTCTTCTTCTTCTTCTTCTTCATCCTCATCCTACTTCTTCTTCTTCTTCTTCTTCTTCATCCTCATCCTACTTCTTCTTCTTCTTCTTCTTCATCCTCATCCTACTTCTTCTTCTTCTTCTTCATCCTCATCCTACTTCTTCTTCTTCTTCATCCTCATCCTACTTCTTCTTCTTCTTCTTCTTCATCATCATCCTCATCCTACTTCTTCTTCTTCTTCTTCTTCTTCATCCTCATCCTACTTCTTCTTCTTCTTCTTCTTCTTCCTCATCCTACTTCTTCTTCTTCTTCTTCTTCTTCATCCTCATCCTACTTCTTCTTCTTCTTCTTCTTCTTCATCCTCATCCTACTTCTTCTTCTTCTTCTTCATCCTTATCCTACTTCTTCTTCTTCTTCTTCTTCTTCTTCTTCATCCTCATCCTACTTCTTCTTCTTCTTCATCCTCATCCTACTTCTTCTTCTTCTTCATCCTCATCCTACTTCTTCTTCTTCTTCTTCTTCTTCTTCTTCTTCTTCCTCATCCTACTTCTTCTTCTTCTTCTTTCATCCTCATCCTACTTCTTCTTCTTCTTCTTCATCATCCTCATCCTACTTCTTCTTCTTCTTCTTCTTCATCCTCATCCTACTTCTTCTTCTTCTTCTTCATCCTCATCCTACTTCTTCTTCTTCTTCATCATCCTCATCCTACTTCTTCTTCTTCTTCTTCTTCATCCTCATCCTACTTCTTCTTCTTCTTCTTCTTCATCCTCATCCTACTTCTTCTTCTTCTTCTTCTTCTTCTTCTTCATCCTCATCCTACTTCTTCTTCTTCATCCTCATCCTACTTCTTCTTCTTCTTCTTCTTCATCCTCATCCTACTTCTTCTTCTTCTTCATCCTCATCCTACTTCTTCTTCGTCTTCATCATCCTCATCCTACTTCTTCTTCGTCTTCATCATCCTCATCCTACTTCTTCTTCGTCTTCATCCTCATCCTACTTCTTCTTCTTTCTTCATCCTCCTACTTCTTCTTCTTCTTCTTCTTCATCATCCTCATCCTTCTTCTTCTTCTTCATCCTCATCCTACTTCTTATTCTTCTTCTTCTTCATCCTCATCCTACTTCTTCTTCTTCTTCTTCTTCATCCTCATCCTACTTCTTCTTCTTCTTCATCCTTATCCTACTTCTTCTTCTTCTTCTTCTTCTTCTTCATCCTTATCCTACTTCTTCTTCTTCTTCTTCTTCATCCTCATCCTACTTCTTCTTCTTCTTCTTCTTCATCCTCATCCTACTTCTTCTTCTTCTTCTTCTTCATCCTCATCCTCATCCTCATCTTCTTCTTCTTCTTGCTATGGGCCCCTGTACCGCCTCCTCATGCTGCTGCCAGGTCCAGAGTGTGTCATGGGTCCCTGTACAGCCTCCCATTGCTGCTGTCTCCATCGCCACACTCTGCCATGTGCCACTTTCAGGTCTCCTCACTCTGCTGGTGGGTTCCATTTTGTCATAGGGTGCTGTATGGCCTCCCATTGCTGCTGCCTCCACCGCCACACTGTGGCTCCACACTCTGGTTTTGGCCCCGTGACTGCCCAAATGAGTGAAGTGTGCGGTGATTCTAAGATCGACGGCACTCATCTGCATGTCATACTGACTGACAGTATTATTTCTCTTCCCCAGCAGACTCCAAGGGCATTTAAATTAAAGGTACAGTGTTCTGCACTAATATAAAGGCTCTCTGAAGCCTAGAAACCCTTTTAATAAGTTAAATTCGCAGCGAATAAATTCGCATCGAATCAAATTTATTCCACAAATTCGGCGAATCAGCCGAATCAAATTTTTGAATAACTCGCTCATCTCTAATTATAAGGTAGATTAAAAAAATACAATCTAAGACATGGATTAACATTAAGATATTAGTAGCAGTAGGTTTCCATCTAAGAGAGAAGTCCTGGGAGACAAGGGGGCATAGGAGAAGAAGTGTCGAGGGGCTAGTTTGAATCCCGAACTTTGGGCCTGCTTCATGAGTTGGAGAGGAGAGGAGCCCACTGTGGTAGACCCAAAATTGCAGATGATGAATATAACATCTTTCATCTTATTTTTTTTTAAATATTAAAAATAGCCTTTAGTCCTCATGCACACTGGATGTTTCTACAGCGGCTGTTTTTGGCTTTTGACATGTTTTTCTACAGCCAGTAAACTCCCCGGCATGTTATCCTATGTGTCCATGCACACATAGGCTTTAATCAGCATTTTTTGGCAGGGTCATTTTTTTTGATTGGAAAAAACCCAGATCTAGTGGGTTATTAGGAGGTTTTTTTAAAAACATATTAGCGCTGGTAACAGTAAAACAAGCCAAACCAGTGTTTTTATGTGTTTATTGTTTTTTAAAAACACGGAAAAACAGTAAAACAAGCCAAACCAGTGTTTTTTTGTGTGTTTATTGTTTTTTAAAAATGCGGAAAAACAGTAAAACAAGCCAAACCAGTGTTTTTGTGTGTTTTATTTTTTTTTTTTTTTAGTGTAAAAAATGCAAACTCGGAAAAATGCAGCTAAATGCTAATACAAAAAAGCTAAAAAATGCAGAAAAACTTTAACGTGACTTTATACAGCTAATGCTACCGGTGTTTTTTAAAACGCCCCGAGTGCATGAGGACTTACAAAGTAGTGAATGTGTATGGATTATTTTTGAAGAACAAGAATATACAGTATATATAAATAGTTAATGCTGCATTGCCCTGCATGGGAACACACAGGTTCCTTTTAAGCTTTGATCGAACAATAGATTGCCTTACCCTTACTGCTACTTGCGGCGGACACTGTAATCTCTAATCGCATTATACTTGCAGAGCGGGCTATCATGTTACTCAGTATAAAATAAATTCCCCGACTATTAAAGAGCAAATACAGGAAAATTGCCAGCAAGAACTGCCTTGTTATTAATTACAGTATGCTGAAGTAATTGAATAAGATTCAATTTTAAAACCAAACAAGCAATTAAAACCTCATCTAATTACATACTGAGACAACGCAGAGATACCTGTCATAAGATACAAGGGGAAAGGCAAAAAAAACCCACAACACTTGAAATAATAAAATCCCAATTTTATTTAAAATGCGCCCCTGGGATCCTGCAGAGCACATCAATATCTCATTGAATCCCAGGACCGCACTTTGAATTGTGTAATAGCTGAGACTTGAAGGACATGCTAAAATATTGTTATTGATGGATGTGCAGCAGAGACCTTTTCTGCAGAAAGACAGATGCACAAAGCCGAAGAAGGACAATTTTGTAATTTAACCTGAAAAAACCTTTAAAAATATTTATGTGTCTGACATCAATCTTTCATCGGGCTGGTTTATTTTTTTTTTGGACCCCATTTGTCAAATTGTCTGAAAGTAGGACTCTGTTTCTGGCTCAGCGTAACTAAAGATCATGCAAATCAGAATAGACTTGGACAAAAGGTGCATAGAAAAGGTTACAGTGATACAGTTAAGTTGATAAAAAAAACACATTTGGGCATCAAGTTTAAACAAAGGCAGAACATTAATTAAATATAACAACACCTTTGCACCTTAAACCCACAGCTGATCCAGAGGAATGCGGAAAATACATTGGTGGGCAGTGGGAAGAATACGCCTTACATCGGAGGTCAGTGAGAAGAATGCTCCTTACATTGGTGATCAGTGGGAAGAATGCTCCTTATATTGGTGGTCAGTGGGAAGAATGTCCCTTACATTGGTGGGCGATGGGAAGAATACCCCTTACAATGCAGACAGTGGGAAGAATGCCCATTACTTTGGTGGTCAGTGGACAGAAATCCTCTTAAATTGGTGGACAGTGGACAGCCTCTTAAATTGGTGGTCAGTGAGAAGAATGATACTTACATTGGTGATCAGTGGGAAGAATGTCCCTTACATTGGAGGGCAGTGGGAAGAATTCCCCTTATATTGGTGGTGAGTGGAAATTATGCTCCTTACATAGGTGGTCAATGGGGAGAAAGCCTCTTACATTGGTGGTCAGTGGGAAAAATGCCCCTTACATTGACAGTTAGTGGGTAGAATGCTTCTTACATTGGTGGTCAGTGGGAAAAAATGCCCCTTACATTGGCAGTTAGTGGGTAGAATGCCTCTTACATTGGTGGTCAGTGGGAAGAATGCCCCTTACATCGGCAGTCAGTGGGTAGAATGTCTCTTACATTGGTAGTGAGTGGGAAGAATGCCTCTTACATTGGCGGTCAGTGGGAAAAATGCTTCTTACATTGGTGGTCAATGGGAAAAATGCTTCTTACATTGGTGGTCAGTGGGGAAAAATGCCCCTAACATTGGTGAATGGGAATAATGCTCCTTACATTGGTGATCAATGGGAAGAATGTTCCTAACATTAGTAGTCAGTGTGAAAATGCTCCTTTGGTGATCAATAAGATAAATGATCCTTACATTGCTGATCAGTTGGAGGAATACCCTGCTTATGGATGATCATTGATGCCAGTGGCTACTTATCTGAGAGTCAGAAATTGCTGAAGCATCTTAACAACCTCTGGAGGTATATTAAAGCCATTTTTATACTATATGACCAAAAGTTGACTATAACACCTATATGAGATTGTTGGACGTCCCATTTCAAAACCATGGACATCAATTAAGAACTGTGCTTAGCCCCTTTGCAGCCTCCATTTTTCCAAGAAGGGTTTCCACAATATTTTGAAGTGTGACTGTGCAAATGTATGTCGGTTCACCCAAAAAAACATTTGTAAGGCCATGTACTAATGTCTGATAAGAAGACCTTCTTAAACATGTTCAGTAGGATTGAGATCAGGGCTCTGTGCAAGCCACTTGAGTTCCTCTACACCAAACTTGTAAAACCATGTATTTGTGCACATCGGCAGAGAAGGGGCTTGCTCAGACTGTTACTACAAGGTTGGAAACACATAATTGTCTAACATATCTTGGTATGTTGTAAGATTAACACTGCCTTTTACTTGAAAATGATGACATCAAAAATCTGGTGTCAGGGTCTGGGTCCAAACCCAGGACCTCTGCTGTGTCTGGCAGTAACTCTTCTCACTGAGCTACTTGAGATGCTGCCCAGTGTTCTGCCAGATATGTTGGACAATCCTGTCTTGTGCCTTATTTTCTGCTGAACTTTGAACTCTTTGCTCCTCCCTTCCTGATTTAAGCCATGTCTCTGCACTTCCTGTTTGCAGATTATTGTGCCTTCTCCAGCCTGTACTTTTCCTACCACTCATTACTGGCCTTTGGCTTGTTCCTCAACTACACTTCTACCCGATCCCAACCGCAACCACTTGTTACCGGCCTTCGGCTTGTTTACTGACTACGCTTCTGTTTGATCCCTACCTGCTATATCTGCTACTGAACCCTGGCTTGCTCACCTCCTGGTGGGGTGATCCTCAGGACTGCAACCTGGTGCTAACAAGCAGCCAAACCCATCTCCACCATCAGGATCTCTGGTGAATACTGGTTAGTGCTTAGACCCCACACCTAAGGTGAGCCTGCGCCATCCGCCGGGTAACCTGCTTGTTGGGGTGGGAGCTTTTCTGCTGCTATAGCTACTGGTTTCTGAGCCTGACACCTGACCATGACATTTGGAGGGGTGTCCACATCTTGTTGGCCCTATAGTTTTGTTTTTTTTGCATTTAGAAAACATCCAGACCTTTTGCAAAGCAATCTTTTGAGTAAGCTAGAACCAGCTCCAGTGGAAGTACTGTATATACTACTTTTTTACAGCTCTTTATGAAAAATGTTTTTGTGTATGGTGGCTAATCCTGTTTTCACTGGTAGCAAAGAGTGACCACTTGCCTTTACCTGACCTTAAAGTAAACAGCTTTCCACCAAATGTAAATACATAAAATGCCCATATATCTCCCTTTATAACCTCCTCCCAATAGTGAATACATTTAGCTTAGTCAGTCTTTTCTCATAATGGATGTTCCCATGTCCTTATTAAATTAGCTGCCCTTCTGTGCACTCTTACTACTTCCATAATGTTCTTTGTTTTGAGAACTGGTGCCCAAGACTGAATTGCATATTCAAGATGAGGTCTACCAATGTTTTGTATTGGGGTGAGTATAAAACAGTCAAATATGTCCTTTACAGTTGTAGGACCCAGGACAAATGTAAGAAAAGTTAAGGATATTTCTATCATTTGATACCAGCAGGTATATAACTCATCTGTTTCTGGATCAGGACGTGATACAGGGGTTGATGGGTCATGGAATCTAGTCCTAGATGATGGGGATGTGGTAATGTGTCAAAGACATACAACCAGATTTTCGTCATTCATAGAGTTCTCATTGCTGAGTAAAGCAGGGAACTCAGCAAAACATCATGGGCTCAATACTCTAGAGTAGCCTTTCTCAACCAGGGTTCCTTGGAAACCTAGGGTTCCTCCAGGGGTTGCTAAAAGTTCCTTGAGCAATGAGCAAAAGTAACCATTGAAACCAATAATTTTTTAGCTATCTGAGAAGGGATCCTTCCCACTGACTGCAAATATTCGGAGCAGTTTTTCAATTGACAGTAATTATTGGCAGGGGTTCCTGAGACTGGAAAGTTATTTTAAGGGTTCCTCAATGTTAAAAAAGGCTGCATGCATTGGAGTATAACAGAGAACAGTGTCAACTCTCCATTGTATGTTGACCCTCAAGTTGCTATAATTCATGCTTGCAGGACCATACTCCTAAAGAAAAGAGCAGTATACTTTTTGTGAGTATAAATATTGTGTTATTGAAATAATTCCCTTAAAGTAAATTGCAAGAACAGATATTTGCCTGGCTATGCTAACAACTCTGTAGACTAGTCATTCTCAACAAGGGTACCTTGAAAACGTAGGTTTCCTCCAGAGGTTACTAGCAGTTCCTAGAGCATTTCTGAGTGCTGATTGAACTACAACTACCAGGGAGCTGGGGAACCACAAGGTTGCTGGGAGAGCATATATATACATACAGTTGTGTCCAAAATTATTCAACCCCCAATGCTGTAAAGGGGTTTTAGGGACTATAGTGTACATTTGGAATTGTATTCAGAATCAAATCCTACAAGGACGTTGTAACTACCCAAATGCAACTAAAATGACATCAATTGTTTATGTAATACAGTAGTAAATGGTTCTTATGTGGTTTCTTCATTGCCACAATTATTCAACCCCTTAAAGACTACCACTCTGAAGAACAGAGGTTCATACAGGTGCTTTCCATCAGGTATTGAAAACACCTGTGGATGTCACCGAGCAGCAATCAAGCATAATAAGCACCAATTAGGCAGCTTTAAAATGACTGTGATACTCAGCTCCTTCTAGACATTTACTGGTGTGGTTACAAACATGGTGAAGGCAAGAGAATGGTCCAGGAAGACAAGAGAAGAGGTGATTTCTCTTCACAGGAAGGGCAATGGCTATAAGAAGATTGCAAAGATGTTAAACATACCAAGAGACACCTTAGGAAGCATCATTCGCAAATTCAAGGCAAAGGGCACTGTTGAAACGCTACCTGGTCGTGGCAGAAAGAAGATGCTGACTTCGACTGCTGTGCGCTACCTGAAGCGTAGAGTGGAGAGAAGTCCCCGTGTGACTGCTGAGGAACTGAGAAAAGATTTGTCAGATGTGGGTACAGAAGTTTCAGCCCAGACAATAAGACGCACACTGCGTAATGAAGGCCTCCGTGCCAGAACTCCCAGGCGTACCCCCTTGCTGTCTCCAAAGAATAAGAAGAGTCGACTGCAGTATGCCAAAAGCCATGTGGACAAACCACAAAAGTTGTGGGATAGTGTTCTGTGGACTGATGAAACAAAATTAGAACTGTTTGGGCCCATGGATCAACGCTATGTTTGGAGGAGGAAGAACAAGGCCTATGATGAAAAGAACACCTTGCCTACTGTGAAGCATGGTGGAGGGTCAATCATGCTTTGGGGCTGTTTTGCTTCTGCAGGTACAGGGAAGCTTCAGCGTGTGCAAGGTACCATGAATTCTCTTCAGTACCAGGAGATATTGGATGGAAACGTGATGCAGTCCGTCACACACCTGAGGCTTGGGAGACGTTGGACCTTTCAACAGGACAATGATCCCAAGCATACCTCCAAGTCCACTAGAGCATGGTTGCAGAGGAAAGGCTGGAACATTTTGGAGTGGCCATCGCAGTCACCAGACTTAAATCCGATTGAGAACCTCTGGTGGGACTTAAAGAAAGCAGTTGCAGTGCGCAAGCCTAAGAATGTGACTGAACTGGAGGCCTTTGCCCATGAAGAATGGGCGAAGATACCCGTAGATCGCTGCAAGACACTTGTGTCAAGCTATGCTTCACGTTTAAAAGCTGTTATAACTGTAAAAGGATGCTGTACTAAGTACTAAGATTGAATGTCACTTGGGGGTTGAATAAAACTGATAATGCTGTGAGCACAGAAAAGACATTTGTGGTTATTTCATTATAACTGTTATGTTATATTTGTCTGACCTACAAGTGCCTCTTTAATGTAAATGTAAGCAAGATGACTGAATGATCAAAAGCAATGTCAAACTGGCCAAAACACTCAATTTTCAGTGGGGGTTGAATAATTTTGGACACAACTGTATATAGAGAGAGAGAGAGAGAGAGAGAGACACACAGCAAGGACCTGGCTTACTCTCTTGGTGCAGGATTTGGAACTGAACACAGGGGGACTGATGTTTTCCTCAAGAGATTGCTGGCCTACTGCTGTTGGACTGTGCATACCAGTTCAGCACAGCGGTGACGCCAATCGCCAATCTCTACACCTGGATCGCATCAGCTTTTCTGCATCAGGACTGTCGCTATCCAGTCTTCAGCCAATCATCTCTGCTTGCTGTGCTGACAGGCTGTCAGGTGGTAATTCTGTACTTCTCTGCAAGCAGCCAAAAGCTTGCGCAAGAACCCAGTTTCTAGGAGGCCGTGCAATTCATGGGATTGAGTTCGCAGATATAGTGGATGCAGGGTCCGGGGAAACCGGATATAGTGAATGCAGGGTCCAGGGAGACCGGATATAGTGAATGCAGGGTCCTGGGAGACTGGATACAGTGAATGCAGGGTCCTGGGAGACTGGATATAGTGAATGCGGGGTCCAGGGAGAGCGGATATAGTGAATGCAGGGTCCGGGGAGACCACATATAGTGAATGCAGGGTCCTGGGAGACTGGATATAGTGAATGCGGGGTCCGGGGAGAGCGGATATAGTGAATGCAGGGTCCGGGGAGAGCGAATATGGTGAATGCAGGGTCCTGGGAGACCGGATATGGTGAATGCAGGGTGCGGGGAGACCGGATATGGTGAATGCAGGGTGCGGGGAGACCGGATATAGTGAATGCAGGGTGCGGGGAGACCGGATATAGTGAATGCAGGGTGCGGGGAGACCAGATATAGTGAATGCAGGGTGCGGGGAGACCAGATATAGTGAATGCAGGGTCTGGGGAGAGTGGATAGAGT